TGAGTGATACAGTAGATGTTTACCAGACTTATTGTGGCGATCACATCGTAGGTATATGATGTTGAATCACTATGCTGTACACCTGAAACTAATGTAAGATTGTATGCAACTATACTTTAAAAAGAAGTCAACATACCCATCAGCCCTGTGCCATGTATTGTGGCACCAAAAGGGAAGAGGAGAAAAGGGATGGTGGGTCTACTCACGCCTACCTCTTGGCCAGCTCTACTGCAGGGGGCTCTGTGTCCAGAAGTTCCAGCAGTTGAGAATGTGGAAGCTCATGGCATGCATGGGAGAGGCTGAGAACAAGAGCCTGAGGGATAGCTTCTAATGGGACACCTCAAGGTGGAATAGACACTCAAAAGGTCTGCTTTCCCCCTGCATGCTATGAAACCTCCTTTGGAAAGGTAGAGCATGGCTTATATACAATGAACATATATATATTTTTTATATCCAGACAAAATAAACCTTAGTTTTAAAAAGATGGTCATATAGGGTAAGGCTAAAGGTGGTGTTAGCAGGAATGGATAGATTAATGCTGATGGCTTAAAAGCCATTTATATCTCTTCTACTTAATTTGAACTGCCTTTTATTTGCAAGGCATTGGGAGAGGACCACACTTCCAGCCTTTGAGGTGTTTACAAGTTAACAATCGCTGAACCAGAGAATAAGAAATAGGATAGGAAATAAGAAACGATTCTGAAGGGAGAGACAGAGGAAAGGCTTTGTGCAGAGAGTGGGCGGGTAAGGGGTACACACTCCCTGTAGCCGTTGAGTTGGGAGTTTTAAGGGCTTTTTGGAAGGGACTTGCCACATTGGAAAGATAATACCTTTGCGTTACCTATGAAGAAAGCTTTGTTAAACAAAGACCATTAACAAGATTGAATGGGAAATGGTGAACCACGTCTGTGAGGCTAAAAGCCCCTTAGCTAACACCTGAAAGGTAGTCTCCTTGGTCAGCTGAGTGGTCCCAGAATAGCCAAGAACCTAGAGAAACCAGAGGGCTGTTTACCAAGGTCCACAGTGAATGAGTCATGTGTGTGGACTTTTGTCACCACACCTCAGAGTCTGAAACAAAGGAGAAAGACAAGCAGCCATTCCCAGCCCCTTTGTGCTCCTCCCTTTGGATAGCACATTGGCCCAGCCAGAGTCCCCAGAGATGAGTTTGAGTTAGCGTTCTTGCAGTTGGGGGACCCTGAGGAGCTGTGGGCAGGAGTGATTGGCAGTAGCAGGGTAGCAAAAGTCCCTCCCTAGGCATGCCCAATCTCCCCGCCCCTAGCATGGCCCCACACAATGTCCCTAGAGGGGAATTCTTCCAGCTGCACCTACAAGACAATCTGCTCCTGATCTAACTGCACCGGTGGGTGCTGCCTGCAGAGAGGCCCAGGGTCAGGCTGGTCTACTGGAGTCGGCCTCTCTGCTCTGCTGCTTTGGGAGAGGCCAGTCTAACCTGCCCGGCGCCTTGTCCATGTGCTCTGGGCCGACTGAAACTCCTCTTTCAGTCAGAGCTAGAGGCGGGGCAGGGTAAGAGGAAAGAGCAGTCATGGGGCACACCCTGGCTGTGGGAGGTGTTTGCAAACACTTGAAATTCCGTGAACCTACAGGGCCCGCCGCCCCAGAACCGCAGACTGTGAGTCTGTAAAGTGAGAAGACAAATTCTCACTCCAGGGCGGTCAGGGAGTGAGTCTCCAGGGACAGTGTGCTCTGAGTGGAGGAGGGGAGAAAAGGACCATCCAGGCATCTAGGGAGCAGTAAGCCAATTCCCAAGGATGCCCTGTTCTGGACCTCCTGGAGACTCTCTTCTCTGTGCTGCCTCCAGTGAGCCCCACCCCTCTGAGTTTTAACTCTGCTAGTGTCCAGTGTCTAGAGAGAAGTTTCTTTTATAAAATTTTTTTTTTATTGATTTCAGAGAGGAAGGGAGAAGTAGAGAGAGATAGAAACATCAATGATGAGAGGGAATCATTGATTGGCTGCCTCCTGCACGCCCCCTACTGGGGACTGAGCCCGCAACCCGGGCAGGTGCCCTTGACTGGAATCAAACCTAGGACCCTTGGGTCCGCAGGCCGACACTCTATCCACTGAGCCAAATCAGCCAGAGGCTAGAGAGAAGGTTCTTGATCTCGATTTCTTGGAGTCGGCCAGGCAGCCTTGCCCTGCCCCAACCTACCACCTCCCCTTTTACCACGGAGCCTATTTGTGTCTGACAGAAACCCAAACACGTGAGGTCACAGGTGCTCACAATTTCCCCTCCTCTCACCACTGTGCCCCTCCCCCACACTTTGTCCTCTAATCCTTTCCATGAATGGAAGGAATGCGTCATGTCATACTCAGCCTGTGAGTCTGTCCAGCTGGGTTTCATTCCTGGCTCTCTGTATTTCGGGGGCTGGGCTAACAGCATGAATGTGAGGGAGGAGGGGAGGCCAGAGCTGAAAAACTTTACTCCCAGGGTCAGTTTTGACCCCAACTCCCTAGTGGAACAGTAGATGGGTAGGACAACCAAGAGGGAAGAATATGCCTTATTTGATGCAGTACCAATACAGAATAGACACCAAGAATGGGTAAGGGCTGGGACAGAATGGGGCTGCAGGCAGATGTCCCCAGCTGAAAATGAAGGAAGGTATCTGGCTGTGACCTGCTCTGCTATTGGCTGCTGAGCTACTGCTGCTCATACCTGCTTTACAACCTGAAGCACAGCTGGATCCAGCCCCTGCTCAAAGTCCTCTGAAGGCTGGCTCACCTGGTTTAACACCGTAGTGTAAACTCCTTAGTCTGGACTTGGTGATCTGCATGATCTGGGCCCAACTTCCTTGGCCATCTTATCTCCACCATTTGTCCCCAGTGACTTCCTAAAATATCCCACATTCTAGCCCCAATGGGGTACTCGTAACCCCTAAACATGCCATGAGCTCTCTGGACCCCATGCCTTTGCTTAGGCTGGTCCGTTCTCTCCTTCTGAAAAGCTCTTCCCCCATCATCTTCTCTACCCATCAAGTCTGCTATACTCTTTAAGACCCACCTCAATACCATATTCTTCATGAAAATCCACTTGCTTAGAGAAATCACTTTCTCCTCAAATCACCCAAAGCATTATACTAATCCAGGACTTCTTTTATAGCATTTGTCATAGAGTGCCTTGGAACTGGGTCTCATTCAGAGGCAATACCTAGCACAAAGTAAGTCCTCAATAAATCTTTATAGTAACGAGTGGAGCCGTGAGGTTGAATGAGGTTAATAAATGGCCAGGAAGGGGAAATAGCACGAAAACAACAGAGTTCTGTTAAGCTTTCCTGACTTTTACGTGTCTGGTGCCTCCTTTCCTTTCCCCTTCTCATCACATTAAATATTTACAACGTGCTAAATAGGATTTTCCCACACTGTAGCCGCCCTCAGTTGCAAACCTGAGGCATAATGTCCGTGTTGTAACTCCCTACATGGTAAAAGAGAACATTATGTACTCGTGATTGGCTGGAATAACCTCCAACTCTTCAATTCCATGGCATTTCCCAAGGGCCTCCTGTGTACTCAGGCTTCTGCTAGGGGCTGTGGAGGAGACAGGTTAAAGAAGTCACCACCTGGTCCCTACCCTGAAGAGGGCTATCAGAAGCCAAATCTTGGGAGAAATCTGAGTGAAGCCTTGCGGTGGATAGGACTCGAGTAGTCAAAGAGGTTGGCAAGGCAGCCGAGTGCTAAAGGCCTGGAGATGGGGAGATTCTCTGGGCTACAATTTGTTCAGGAGATGGAGGAGAATGAGTCAGGGTGGGATCAAATAGGAATGCCTTTACTTATCTACGTCTGAAGTTAATGCAGGTGAGGCAACATGGTAGGATTTCAAGCAGGTTAGCGCAGCAATGTGCAGTGTGGACGGAAGGGAGGAGAGCCTAGAGGTCAGGGAGATACTAGTGGCAATCCAAGATTGGGGTTCTGAGGGTCTGGAAGAAGCAAGGGATGCAGTAAAAACACTGGATGGGAGTCAGGACACCTGGGCTCTAATCCTGGATCTGTTGTGGGGCCTCGAACCCATCACTTCTCCGCTCTGGGCCTTTCCTTAACTGTAAAACCTAAAAACTTTCAAAGTGACCTTTCCAATCTGATGGTCCAGGTAAGCCTTTGAAGTAGGATATTGGGAATGGAGGGAATAGGTCAATCTAGTGGACATTAGGAGCAAGGGAATGACTAACTGGAGTCAAGACATAAAGGAGGGCGGGGGGGGGGGGGGCGGGGGGGGGACCGAAGAGGGTCCATCCAGCCAGGGAGAAATGGGGAACTGGGGGTGGGCGGAGCCGCTGCTCCCGACGTCTAGTTTGGCAACCCGTTTTCAGTTTCCCCTTTCTTCCCCTTCTCTAATTTCCTCTTAGCCTCACCTTATTTGGTGAAAGCAGGGCAAAATAGGATACCCCCCACCTCATGTGCCGCCTCCCCCCGCCCCCCCATTCTACCTTCCCCTTTTCAGGCTTTGAAATGACCCTCCTCCTTCCCCACCCACCTGGCACCAGCCCAGAACCCACCGCCCTCCACAGTCATCACCCCGAAGTGGAAAGAGCGGGGGATTTGGGATCGTGTTCTTTGTCACTTTCATAGCTACCACTTGTTGAGAACTCACCACGTGCCCGGCTACATTGTTTTTTACAGCAAATCTAGACTGTCCTCTCATCTTACCGATGGAGCAACTGAGCCCAAAAGATGCTAAGTAATCTGTGCAAGGCCCCCCCCCACGGCCAATGCCCGGCTGGAAACGAGTCTGACTCCCAGGTCAGGGCTTCCGCCAGTTCCGGTTGGGCCGTGCGCCCTTTGCTGGCGGTGGATTCCTTCCATCCCTCCCTGACCGACCGCCTCTCAGCCCGGAATTCGCCGGCCCCGCCCCGCCTCCCGCGCTAGCCCCGCCCGAGCGCGGGGGCCCCGCAGGGCTGCGCCGCGGCAGGTGGGCGGGCGGGGCGGGGCCGGAGCGGGAGGCGGGGCCTGGAGGGGGTGTGGCCGGAAGCCTTAAAGAGGCCCGGGCGGCGGGGCGGGCTTAGAGGCCGCGGGTCGCGGCGATCAGCTCATCCCTCTGCAGCGTGTTCCCCCGCGGTCACCATGTCCCTGGCGGCTGCGGCGGGCCGGGGCCCGGGGGCCGTGTGGTCCCCAACCCACGTGCAGGTGACGGTGTTGCAGGCGCGGGGCCTGCGGGCCAAGGGTCCCGGGGGCACGAGCGACGCGTACGCCGTGATCCAGGTGGGCAAGGAGAAGTACGCCACCTCGGTGTCGGAGCGCAGCCTGGGCGCGCCCGTGTGGCGCGAGGAGGCCACCTTCGAGCTGCCGCCGCTGCTGTCCGCCGGGGCCGCGCCCGCGGCCGCCGCCACCCTGCAGCTCACCGTGCTGCACCGCGCGCTGCTCGGCCTCGACAAGTTCCTGGGGCGCGTCGAGGTGGACCTGCGGGAGCTGCACCGGGACCAGGGCCGCAGGAAGACCCAGTGAGTGCGGCCCGGGGGAGGACCGGGAGCCGGGGGAGGACCGGGAGGGAGCCCGGCGCGGGCCGTGCAGGTGGCCGGGGCGCTGAGGTCCCTCTTAGAGAGAACGCGCAGTGCAGGCGCTGCTGTGTCTCCGGGGGACGGGCCGAGAGGGACCTTTCAGGAGGGACCCCTGGGCCAGCAATGGTGTTCTCTCCAGCCGGCCGCGCCTGCTCTCCTGGCGGGTGGGCTCTGAACGCAGGAGGGAGGGGTGCGTGGGGCGATTTTGAATCTGCCTGACGTCGCTCAGCCCCTGAAACTTAGCAAGCAAACACTTAATGCATTTACGATGAATTGAAAATACATGTGGCCTGACGAATGCCGGTTATTAGTGGGGGGAGTATGTATATTTGATATTCGCATTGATTATGTGGGAAGCCTCCTAGGTATGTTACTGTCCTGGGCACTCACTGAGCTGAGAATGGCCGGGCCGTGGCGCGGAGAGGATTAACTGGAGGAATGAAACCCATGACACTCCCTGGCTCTAGAGAGGCTCACCATGGACGGAGCGGGGCGTTACAGCGAGGAGTGGGTGGAGGTGGGGGCCAGGAATGGGGTGTGCAGATTGCCAGGTGATGGCCATCTCCCCCGCCCCCATTAGTTGGTGAAGAGAACTTGCCTCTCCCTTCCCCCCTACCCCCTCCAAAGAATGCACCACCTTCAGACTGAAAAATATTTAACCCTGTTTGCCTGGGCCCCAAATTAGTGAGGATTTCTCAGCGATGGCTGGAGCCAGGGTCTGCCCTTGGCCCAGCTCAGCTGGGAGGTAGGCACTGTTTTTCTTTGTCAAGTTCTCTCTGGCCCTACTCCCTACAGGTGGCTGCTCACCTGTAGCTCCCAGTCAAGCGTTAGGGTATCTCAGTCCTACAGGGAAAACTGGGCAAAACTCAGTTCACCCCAAGATGTTACCCAGTTATCTGTTCTCTTTCACACGTGTGTGGAATGGAACATTTGAATGTGTTCATCTAGTACAGTGGTTCTCAACCTTGGCTGCACATTAGAATCACCTGGGACTCTTTTTAAAATCCTGATTTCTGGGCCTCATCCCCCGGAAATTCTGTTTCTTTGTTATGGGTTGAGGCCACAACATTATGGGTTGAGGCCACAACATTAGTAACAAGGAAACAGAATTTCCGGAGGATGAGGCCCAGAAATCAGGATTTTAAAAAGATTCCCAGGTGATTCTAATGTGCAGCCAAGGTTGAGAACCACTGATCTAGTATACCAGACCTAGCCTCCCATGTTGCCACCTAGCCCCTACAGTTTATGAAGCACACTGATTCACATTTTGTGTTTTAGATATCAACAGGTTTTTAACTTTCTCTTGTGAAGGCGACAGGAAAAGCCAGAGGGTTTGAAGTTACCGGACTCCTTTTTCTGGAGGGTGGGTCCAATTTCAGCATGCATGCTTGCAAATGTAATACCTGCTTCGCTTATCTGGCCAAAGATGAATAGGCATTTCTGAACTCAAATCAGATAAAAATGGAGAGCCCTAGGTGAGGATGGATGGGATGTCTTCCTGGCATCAACTTACAAGCCATAAGGTGAGCAGTGTCTTTGCTAAGGAGGGGCTGAAGCTATGCTCCTTTTTCATTGGATTAAATGACATTTGGGGCCTTGGGTTGGTTTCCTCTCCGGCTTCAACTGGGAGCTGTTGGCAGTCCTTTGTTTGGTCCCGGCCCAAGATGTGTGGGTATTATCATCTGCCACCTGTTTCTTATGGGAGCGTTTTATTCCCTGGAAAGGTAGAGTGCATCTCCCTGCCAGAGATGGGGTTTCCAGACCCTCGGTCTGGTCCTGACTCATTGTTGGGCCTCAGGCTGCTTGGTCTCCCAAAACCCGTTTCCCTCTTTATGAATGGAGCTTGTTGCCTGACTTAATGAATGTTTGTCAGATGTTTCTGGGCTCCTGGGTTAAGGGGGCCCATATATAGATTCAAAAAGTCCTGTTACTGCTTTGTGAGGAGTGAAAAGCTCCTTAAGCTCCCTATTTCAGGAAGTGTTTACTAGTAGGCTCTGCATCTTCATTTTCACATCCTCTCCATTGTAATGCTAAATTACAATGATTGGTTAGATTGGTTACTCTTGCCACTATTATATGAACCGATTACCACCTAGTCACAGTATCAGCTTGTAGGAAAATAACACTTAGTTGATTTTTTATTTTTATTTTTTATAACTGCTAAGGAAGGCTTCTTTTATTTGCTCCTCTAGCAGTAGGTGAAACTACAAGCATTCCATTTATCACTTCTTGGGACTTTCCAAGGTGCTGGGGGAACCCAGTTAAACATACTCTGTCTGATGCCAGGGTACATCACTTGGGCCCTCAAGATAGCTGGGATTTGGAAAATGAGATATACACTGAGAGGCGGAAGTTTAACAGAAACTGGTTGGGCTAGGAAGTCATTTGAACTAGTCATTAATGGATTGACTCCAGTTTAGACATTAAAAGCCAGAAACAAAACAAAAGCTCAAAAATAAAAAAAAAATTGTTGTTAATCCTCACCTGAAGATATTTTTTCCATTGCTTTCCAGAGAAAGTGGAAGGGGGAAGGGGGAGAGAGAGCGAGAAAGATAGAGATAGAGAGAGAGGTGAGAGGTGAGAGAGACATATTGACTGGTTGCCTCCCACTCTCACCCCAACGGGGGGTGGGGGGTGGGGGGGTGTGAACCCAAAACTGAGGTGTGTGCCCTTGACTGGAAATTGAACCTGTGACCCTTTGGTGCCCAGGCCGACACTCTAACGACTTGGCAACACTGGCCAGGGCCAAAAGCTCAAATCTTGGTCTGTAGGTTTGTGTGTGTGTGTGTGTGTGTGTTCACCTCTAGCAAATAAGGTTGCTGTTATAGAGTATGACTTTCATTATGAGTCTAGAGAAGCTGAAACTCAAGGCATTAAGAGCTAACTGCTAATATTTCCACTGTTCTTTTGGTAAGCCTCCATCTGTCATATCTTTGTAATAAAGAGAATATACTTTTTATAATGGCTCAGATTTCACAGACCTTGACTTTAGTGTGATGACACACATCTTTGAAGCACCAAACAGAGGCTGACGTAGGATAGGATACATTTAATAGGGGAGAGTGCATAGTCCCTTTCCTTAAGAATAAATAGAAATGAATTGGTTTTGCACTTACACTTACCTATTAAAGACCTCTCAGGTCTCAGTTGGGCCTTGGTTAAATGGGAATCAGTTAAGTCTCATGGTCATAAAATAGACCTGAATCTGAGAGGCAGAATCAGGTGACTAACATGTAGGGTTCTCTGCTCAGCTCTCTAGTCTCATGTAGTGTGGGATTCTAGATTGATTAAAACAATATTTTTTAGCATGGTAAGAGCAACAAATTTTGGGGAAATTATCAGTTGGTAGATTAAAATAAATATTCATTAAGGCTGGTGACTGGAAAGCCATTGTGTAACTAAATATCATGCAACTTAATACTGGAATAGTCTTCCAGATATGAAGAGAGTGTGAGTGGTGGAGAATCATTTTCCTATATGTCTTTAATATTTAAGGGGGAATTTGGTTGTATCTGAAAGGATTTAGATATTAATAAGGGGTAACTATTTTGAAGAGCTGTAAGTGTAGAAGAATGCTGTAATAAGTTGCTGAAGGAAATTTGGATTATTAAAAAGAAATAAAAGCCAGAGAGCTGTTTTTTCTGGGAAAGCTGGATGCAGGGAAATGACGTAGAAGACCATAGAGATGTGTAATTCACAAATTATAAGCAGTCAGCGTTTGTGCTTATACCTTTAGGTTTCCTAAGCATACTCTTAAGTTTTTCGTAACAGATTGGAAAATTTGAGCAACATTGTTAAGTTTTTCCTTTCTTGGGATTCCCCTTAAACATAATATTGGGCCTTACTGGAAACCCTCCTACCTGTCACCCAGCCACAGTCCCCTCCCACTCCAGTGTAGGAAACGGATAGCTCAATGCCCAAGACAGTTCTCTGTCTCCTCTGGATAAACCCTAACCTGTTTATGGCAATGGGGTGAAATGACTAAGAAGGGGGAAGGTACCTCAAAGTCATTGTATTAAAGGTGTTCCGTTGTGTTTTTCATGGTATTATTTGATTATAATTTTATTTGTGAGACATTCAGTTAGCATGGGGAAAGCTCTAACTGCTTTTTCCCCCTTGTCCTTAAAGTTTATCCATACTTTTCATAAATATTTTTTAATACCTACTATGTGCCAGGTACTGGGTATACAGTGTAAACAGTGATGACCAAAACAGACATGATCCCTGCTTTCAGGAAGCTTAGAGCCTTATGTGGGGTATATAGACATGAAACAAATGAACACATAAATAAATAATCATGTATTGTGATAAGTACTGTGGAGGAAGAGAACAGGGTATCATAAGAGAAAAGACCAGGGAAGACATGATTTAAAGAAGATTGCAGATAGCCCCTCTGAGACAGAGACATGAGAATAAGGAGGAATTTTTCTAGTGAAAAGTAGAGGAGGGAGGCCTGATTGGGGTGGGCAGCCTGTGCAAAGGCCCTGAGGTAGCTAGAGAGATTGTGTAGATTGAGGCTGAAGAGGAAGGCAGGGCTTTATTTAAGAACACTGGGAAGCCAATGAGGTGGTGTAATCCATTTTATTAAAAATTGTTGTGGCTGTTAGGTGAAGAATGGATTTGAAACAAGCCTAGCCTGGAATCAGATAAACAAAATGGGAGGCCACTGATGTAATAATCCAGGTGACCAATGGTGGTGGCTTGGGTTAGGGTGATGGCTGTGGAGATGGACACAGGTGGGTGGATTTTAGAAATACTTTGGAGGCTCAGTTGGCTTGGCTTGTGATGGATTGTGTGTGGGTGAGGGTGAATGCGAGGAAGTGATAAGAATAAACAAATAAAATAAGGAGAGCTTGCTGTTGAAAATGAACCAGGAAGTGGTGGCTGCTTTCTTTCCCCAACAGTCACTGTGATAGGGTGAGGTCACCATTGCAAAAACAGTT